TTCTTTCGAGTGGCCCACTTCGTCGCACTGTACGTGACATTCTTCACGTAGACACGGTAGCAGTCGACAGTTGCCATGGCCGCGAAGCAAAACTTGCTATATATGTTAGAACACCCAAAGTGAACAGCCTTTATTCTTTGTGGATAAAAATGTGCCTAGAGCCTAGCCCCGGCGCCGAAAGCCTGACACCCGAAACTCGGTAATGGCTTTGGGTTGTATGCTTTAAAAGTCCAGAGCATCTATGCGAAGCTATCTACAATCCAAACCTTCTACAAATACTGTGAGGATAAGCCGCATCGGCACATGGTGGTGACATCGTGTCGAACACATCGTGTGTAGGAGATACTACGTCGCAAAACTAGAGTCTCTCCTGCTGTAAAGGAAACAGCGACCACGGCCACAAGTTTCGGCTCCAACATCATCTCGCAAAAAAGCCTCGATAAACCTCTTCAGCCGGCATTCTCTGCACTCAAGCAATTCCAACTCGAAAGTGTTAGACATTGGAGAATGTTTTTTTGGGGGCTCACAAGGAATCCGGGCTGTCGGTTTGCGGTTTAAGTTTGGGGAGTCGGGTTTGGGGTTTCGGGTTTTGGGGTTTATATAGGGTTTATGGGTTTAAAATTAGTTTTGGGTTTTAGGGCTTAGTGAGGGTTGAGGGTTTTTGTGAAATACTGCTTTAAAGGCAAGACACACTCGCAGGTAGATCTCGCAAGTAACACAAAGCTCCCCATCGCATGTAAAGCTGCACAAGGAAAATCTCGCAAGTAACACAAAGCTCCCCATCGCATGTAAAGGTGCACACAAGGAAAATCTCGCAAGTAATATACAAAGCTCCCCATCGCATGTAAAGGTGCACACAACAAGAAAATCTCGCAAGTAATATACAAAGCTCCTCACATCGCATGTAAAAGGAAACACTCGCACAGGTAAAAAGCAGAACTCATCGCAAGTACATATACAAAAATCACCGTCGCAAGTAAACCTGCTTTGAGGCTTTAGGCTATTGGTGGTTTCGGGGTTACAAAGGCTTATATATACAGTATATGATAGGGATCAAATACATATATCACACAGAACAGGAAGCACTCAACCTCACACACACACACAAATGCAAGAAACATTTTTTCTCGCAGTCATTGCCCCTCTGCTGCCGGAAGGTTCACCCTTTTTGTGCTTCTCACTAAAAGGGCCAAAGATGCATTATGCTAGATGGCATTGTGGCAGATGTAGTGCTCTACATGTAAACGAAAGACATATAGAAACACACCGTGACTAGCACCCATGGGTTTTCTCAGAGTTGTGGGAAAACAAACCACGTTTATATACAACATATATATGCTTGAAACTCAGATTGTTATATAGTCTACAAAGTTCAGAAAACCCAGGGTGCACATCATCCCGCACTGAACACATTTTGGTTTTCAAACCCCCAGCGACTTCATGACGTCCTGTCGCAGCTTGTAGAGCTCCAAGAGCGGGATGCCCTGCTCGACATAGGGAATCATCTTCTCGATCACCTCATGATGCTTCGGACAGCAACTGGAAATGATGCTCCTCAGCTTGCCGCCGTTATCGTAGTTGCGGATGTAGGATTTCTCAGAGTAGAACTCTACCTTGCAAGATCCGTACTTTTCGGCGGACAGCCATTTGTTAGACGGCGAAGTCGCCGCCGCCGGCTTCGGCTTCGCCGCCAGCTTCGCCACCTTCGTCTTCGCCGCCGACTTCGCCTTCGCTGTGGCTTTGGGCTTGGGGCTCTTCTCTTTCGGCTTGCCGGTGGCTTTGGGCTTCGAAGCACCCTTCTTTTTGGCCACAGCCACAGACACCGGCGGCATGAAAGCCATGGCATTTTTGAGGATGTCCAAGTCGCACTCATCCGTGGAAGAGATCACTTCCACATCCTTGGCCGGCTCAGCCCCGGCACCAGTCTTGATCTTTGCCTTTCCTGCCTTTTTGTTCTTTGCCTTTGTGGCCTTCTTCTTCAGGGTGCCCTTCTTCATAACGATCTTCTTCGGCTTGCTGCTCTTATGGATGTGCACAAACTTCTCCGCAAACTTCTTCGGCTCGCTGCTCTTCAAGGTGTCCGGAAACTTGGTCGGGCTGCTGTTCTTAAAGATTTCCGGCAACTCCGGGAACTCAACATCCTGCAAAGGAGTAAGCTTCTCGTCACCACGAAAAGGAACAGGCTTCTCACCCTCGTTCACGGGAACAAGGGCCGTGCTGGGGGAATCAAGAGGCTTCGGGGCAAACTCCTGCACCTGCACCCTTTCCAGGCAAAGGTCAAGCTTCCTGATTGTATGTTTCCACAGACTTATAGGTAAAAAAAAGTTTGCAACACTTCTTTGTTCCGTCACACGAATTATATATACAGCGAAAAAACACGAAAAACATATATGTGCAGCCACTGCACACTTGATCCTCGTGCGACAGGGACCTGTAGACTTTCCGCTTGAAGCTCTCCTTCTGCTTCATCGCACGGAGGTGGCTAAGAAGAAGACGGATGGCGGTGTCCATCTTGTCCACAAGGTCCTCTGCCTTGTAGTCTTTGTGGCCTTCGAGCAGCAGGTTCTTTTGCTCGTGAAGGATCCAAAAGCTTCGGGTAACCCGCTGCGACAACAACTTCGTGTTCGGGGCGAGGCGAAGAAGGTCAAACAGCAGCCCAGCTGTCTTTGCCAACCACGGACCGTGGGCGGCAGTGTGCCAAGTGTAGCTTATTGGCCCGCCCGGAGGGGGGCACAGTAAAGGCCACAGGTCCTTCGTCTTCTTGAACTCGAGAAAGCCCAACACCACCTTCGCCAGCTCCGTTGCTGTAATAAGCGGATCGGCAACCACTCGGTCCTTGGCATTTTTGCCCGTTGCAGCGGAAGCGCCCTCCGCCAGCTTGACCGAAGCTGCAGCTGCTAAGGAAGCCATGCTCGCAAGACTGTATATACTGTGTATGTATAGGATTTATGATTTCTCAAAAAAATGGAATGCATTTGTCTCTGTCTCCATCCAGCCTCGCACTTACCTCTGGGTCTCGTCTGGACCAAACACACAGCTGCAACGTCCGAAAATTTTTCTCACTCTCGGATCTCAGAAAAGTATATATATATATATATATATAAGTAGATCTCTCGCATGTAACCTACAAGAGTCTCGCACAGGTAAAGGTGGACTCCTCGCAGGTATAAACTATATTGTGATGACTCTCGCAAATGTACATGTACCGATTTCTCGCATGTAAAAAGCACACATCGCAAGCAATCCGCCGGCTCGACCCAGCACAGAATCAAACCGAGCTGCGATTTCAACATGGAAAACCATGGCTTAACAAGTATGCTTGCAACACAATTCTCATAATTTTATCTTCACACCTGACCATGCCGCACTGTACAGTCGCAGGAAAATCTCATGCAATCAACAAGCAGAACCATGATAAAAGAAACAAAACCAACCAAAATTAGCTTGCATTTCACTTCTTCAAATTCGGGAATGTGTAACCTAAAAACATGTATTTTGCAGTGTAAAAAAATTTACATTGCAGTGTAAATTTTTTACTATACAAAGTAAATTAATTTACACTTTTTTTTTACGTAAATTTTTTCGTAAATTTGAAGTGTAAACCAAGCTTTGTTTAGTAAATTGCTCGCCACCTAAAATTAGGTAAACAGCAGGGTCAGGGGAATGTAAGCTGCAGTCAAAAAGCGCATTCTCCGCCAGGTCTCGTGTCTCTCGGTGAGACCCGGGCCATGGGAGTTGTCTTTCGGGTGCAGGCCCGATGTTCCTTGCTTCAGCACCACGAGAAGTTCGGCTTCGCAGGCGTTCCGGAGTGGGGTCTGCGACGACTCGCAGAGGTGAAGGGATGGCCGGCCGAAGCTGAGGAGACTGGCCACGAGGAGGACGACCGCCTCGCCGTGGTGTGCCTCTTGTCTCTCCAGCCAACTCGACGTGGTCAATCGTCTCCTGTTTCGCCAGGACGTGGCCTCGTGGTCGGGCGAGTTTGGGGAGCTCGATCTGACAGAGGTCGTGCGAGACACAATGTTGGCGGCCGACCAGGACGTCGCCCTCCAACAACTTGCGAAGCGGAAAGCCGCTCGCGAGACTGCCGTGGAGATCCGGAAGCGGGTCTCGGGGACTTTCGAGGCCGTCGCCAAGACCTTTGCCAGCCGACCCGAGTACAAAAAGGCAGCGGCAGCTCGAAAGGCCAAAGAGAAGCAGGCATCGCAGCAGCAGAAGGACCATGCCGCTGCGATCAAGCGGTGCTATGCCGCCCTCAGCTCGGACATCGACAAAGTCGTGAAGGTCGGCGTTCCCACAGCCGTCCGAGTGTATCGGGACGACTACAACGGCCGCTGGCGTCTCACGTACAGGACTGTCTGGGCTCAGGTCACTCGCAGCATTTCGTGGACTGCCGTGGGCAGTAGGAATGCCGCAGCGGAAGCCGTTCGCCAAGGCTGGCAGTGGGCGGAGACTTTCGACGGCCTGCCGATGCCGGAGGAGGCAGCAGGCCTGTTGCAGAAGTTGGCGGCTTGAGGCCTGGATTTCCGGACGTGCGATGGCAGAGAAGGACGTTCCAGAATCCACTGGGCCTTTCCGGTAGTTTCACTGCGGAGTAAAGCGGCCGTCCGAGCAACGAGTGCAGAGCTTGCAGAAACGGCGTTTTGTCCTGCTTGCTGTAGCGAAAGCCAGAGTTCTTGAGAAGACGTCTTCCACAAGAAAGCCTTGCTTCGCCCAGGTCATCGCAGTTCCGTTCAAGCTCCGGCCGTTCCTGCTCTCTGTTCCAAGCACGAGGCCGCCACTCCGGGAACTTTCGCTTTGCTGTGTGGGAGTGAGCCGTTGCAGTTAACTTCTCTAAGTTTTTTCAGGGTATGGGGTTTACAGGAGGTTCGTCTGCAAACAAGTCTTGGGCCGTCACACTTGCAGCAGCAGAAGCAGTATAGCAGCAGTTCTTGTTCGCTCTACCCTGTTTTTCTGCAGCGTCTTCTTTTCAAACCTCGTCTAGTCACTATAGGAGAAGCACCATGGGACGGGCCACTTTGGCGGAGACAGGTGGCGAAAGGTCCGCAAGCGCCTGGGCCCTGTTTAACTCGTGGGTCGCTCGGGAAGGCCTGACGGTCTCTCGGGCTGCGAAGTTCCGCATTCGCGGGAAGCGGATGCTCCGGGAGAAGGCAGCGATGAAGCTCAAGTGGATCCTGGGATTGTTTTATTTAGTTAGCAGATACGGCCAAACATTGACTAAACCATGATATCTTTATATTGCTTTGGATGGTTTAGGGAGGTGTTTAGGGTTCCAAGTCAGTTTGACACCTTCGCAAAGCCTCCACTTGAAGCCCTCTTGGCCTACTAAAGTTTATACCCTAAACCACAAAACCGAACCTTTCGAACCCTTTCAGTAGCTCTATGTGCGTTTCAGCTTTTTCCAGGTGCGTTTCAGGTGCGTTTCAGCTTTTTCCTAAGGATTTTATACAGTTGCAAGGAGTGGGCTTTTCAAACGACAGGCTTCAGACCCAAGGAGGCCCAAGGTTGGCTTTTGAAACTGTTGCATCGGCCGATAGGGCTGCACTAAGACTACTAGGGAAGTCCTCCGAAAATTTTGTCCCAGATTGCATCTAGAACCAATTGAAGGTTCCCCAAGGCCAGCAAGCTTGAGCAGCCTTAGCAAATCTAGTGAGCAAGGGCCCTACTACTTTCCCCTTGCCGTCGCACACAGTTTAAAGCTTTCCGAGAATCAACCTCCCTTGCACTGAGGAACCACCGAAAAAGCAAGGACATTCGGAAGAAGTTCGCGGCACTCGCTCAGGCGAAGTACGAGGACAACCGAAAGAAGGCCGAGGCTTACAGAAAGGCCCAGTCGTTCGGCGATGTTTCGCCGCAAGTCGCTGCCGACGAGGCCGAGGTCGTTCGAAAAGCAGAAGCCGAAGCCCACCTGGAAGCTGACCTTGCCGTTCGGGAAGTGCAGGCGGACACCTGGACCTGGACTTTGGGTCGTTCGCTTCGTGACTTCAAGCCGGTCGGCCGTGGGGCGAGCGGTGAGGTCTTCTTCGCCACCTTCGAAGGCCTTCCGGTTGCAGTGAAGCTGACAAAAGGTCGGGGGCTGCAAGCGGCAGCAACCGGCATCGACGTTCAGGAGGAGTTCGCCGTTTTGACGGCCCTGGGGCAGCACCCCAACGTCGTTCGAGCTTTCGCCGTTGTCACGAGCTCGCTGGGCCGGCCGGGCTTGGTTCTCGAGAGGGCGTCTGAGAGCCTGCATGCGAAAGCTCGCAGGCTCAAGGACGATCGGCTGGAGAACTCGCCGGCCGGCAGGGCCTCGCTGCTGGGACTTTTTTCGCAGTTCGTCCTCGGCCTGTCCTTCGTGCACGGGCGTTCGGTCATGCATCTCGATGTGAAGCCCGCCAACATTCTCGTGTTCGATGACAAGAGAGCTGCCCTGGCCGACTTCGGCCATGCAGAGGGGGTCTCCGAGAACGGTTGCTCTGTGGTGGGCGATCGTGTGTACACCCTGGACTTTCGCTGCCCGGAGTGCCTCATGGCCGGCGGCCAGAAGGCATGGGTTGCTGGCGTAGCTATATCCCTGGAATCCTTAAAACGTAGGCTCAAAGTTTCTTTTCTGATCCCTGCAGTATCTTTAAGCAGTGCCTCTGCCGAACCTTGCAGCTAGCCTATTTCGGACAATGTAACAGTTAATAGGAAGGCCCGAGTTTCAATCACAGAAACCCTGCCAGGTTCGTGTCAAGTTCGCCGCTGACGTCTGGGCGGCCGCAGCCACGTTGTTCGAGGTGTGCTGCCCCAGAAAAGCTTCGCTTTTCTCAGTCCCGCCGGGGACGTTCGTGCGGGAGACCGAGGAGCAGACAGCAAAGGCCATTCGGGAGATGGCCACTGCGAGGAGCTTCAAGCTGATGCCGTACGACCAGACAATGCAGGACATCCTGGAGAAGACGTTCGTGCCGGCAGAGAAGCGACTCTCGTTGCCGGGCTTGCTTCGCATCCTGGACAAAGAGCGGTCGGCCTCGCGGTCCATCGGCAGGCCCGCCTTCGGCGACTGACGTTCCTGACTGGTCGTCTTGGACGGAAGCACCAAGAGTCGTTCGAGAACAGCTTCTCGAGCACGGTTCTTGGAGACTGTCGACTCTCGGGTCTCTCGCCCGGCGGATAAAAAAGGAGTTTCTTCAGTCAAGCAGTTGCTTTCACACAGTTTGTTTCCCTACGGTCGCTAGCCACACGTCTGCAGCAGTTGCCCGAAGCCCCGTCCGCCCTTCGACAAAGTTGCTAGCCGTGCTGGGCAGGTACTCCATCGACGATGTCTTCTTCCTCTGGCAGAGCCGGCGTTCGGCGCCGGGGTCAGACCTCCGTCTGGCCCACTCCCCGACCCCTCCAAAACCCCCAGTTCAATCAGGAACTTACGTGAATTGCAGCATTTAGTTCACCTGGAATTGGAGTCCCCCAAAACCCACCGCAGAAAACAACAACTTCGGAGTGGGCATCCTTCAGGCGACATACTTTAAGTGTGAAACCCTGGCCACACCACCTTTTCCCAGCCCCCTCCTCGCCTCTCCTCACTGTCCTCCTAGTTCGACCATTTTCTCCACCAGCCCGATAAGCCCCTACAGTGCAGCACAAAGCCCACTTCCCGACAAATTTCTAACACAGCAAAAACAAGCATGCAATCACCAAGAAAAAGTGACCCCTTGATAGCTTTGCAGCCAGCATGTGTGCCGCCTCGCACAATATTCCTACATTGAAAGATGTTTTCAAGACCTAACAGTTCTCGGGCCCAAAAACAACAAAAAGGCATACTTCCACACTGTTTCACACGGTCACACAGGATGCCACACAGAACTATTGCACACATCATCGGATTTCGCACATTTTCGCCTGCAGAAGCAGCAACATCTTCAGGAATTCGCCCACTCCGACAGCTTGAAAACAACATACAGAATGGACACTTCAAAACAGCTGAACATCAGTGCACTTTTGCCTCCAGTTTTGAGCTGTTCCCATCACACGACCCCCTAGGCCAAAACCTGTCACCTAACCGGGCCTACCTTTAACCTGCCCTATTAGCCCGCCCAAACCTTAGAGGACCCTATAACTACATATTTGGTTAAACCGAAAAAAGGAGCAACAATGGAGACTATAGGTAGACCCTGAACTCCTAACCTGCTGAACCCTAGACCCTCAGCACCAGGCACAGAAGGAAGCCGAGCGTAAGGAACGAGAGGAGGCGAAGAAGAAAGCCGAGGCAAAACATGACAAGGGTCTCGAGGGGTCTTCGCAGAGGGGTGAGAGCTTGGGGTGATGAAAACGGTTCTATTGAATGTCACGGGTTCTAGGACTTCAAGAGGCTTTACACTATAGGACTCTACAGTAGGCTTACTCTTGTATTATGAACTCCACTGCAGTAAATGGAGTGATCTCTCCCTAAGTGTCCATGTACTTATATGATTGGTGTACACTTTTGGCCTTAAATTAAAGTAGTCCGCATCCAGGTGGTTTAGGGTCAAAGTAGACATCCGATAGCGCCACGGGTATTCTGGTCGCTTACAAAACAAAACATGAAGGCTAAGAAGGCGATACACAGGCATCCTCAGCGCCTTCATGTCGAAATCTTACGCAGTAAACCTTAAACTCCGAACCTTGCATATCACTTGACTGCCATCCTACTGTCTGTCACATATTACTTGGCCGATATGCCTTCACAAGCCCGAATTATCCCGCCGTCTATCTTCCCTCGACAGGAAGAGCGAAAGAAGAAACAGGCAGCATATGAGGCTCAGAAAAAGGAGGAGCAGAGGCACCAGAGAGGGTTTGTGAGGGGTTTCGGTTGAGTTTCGGGTTTAGGGTTCAGGGTGGTTGGGGGTTTAGGGTGTAGGATTAGAGCTTCAGGATTTAGAGTTCAGGGTTTGGGGTGCAGGGTAGGAGCCTTCAAGTGCATGGATTTGCAGGCTTTGGTGGACTGCAGGAAAAGCCCGCAGATCGTCCGAAATTCTGATCCCCGACCTGATGATGGATGTCAGAATGACTAGTTTGTTTAGCTGTGTCCTTGTTTTTAACTTGTTTGGTATTGGTTCTTAATATAATATAACTTACCCGAGAAGGTATATACCTTTTTCCAGTGGGTTACCGAACAGCTCAGATGGGTATGCAGGGTTCTGGGTGGGAGCATTTAGGCTGTAGTTCTCGCATGCCGCTCTGTTTAATTACTGAATTAGGTGTATTGATTCTATTTCGGAGAGCTTGTCCCAAAGCCTGAGCCATGATCGGGATCCGGTAAGTAACCCTCCCAGGCTAACTTGGAGCCAAAACAGGACAAGCAACAAGAAACATTGGGGAAAGATGCTTTGCCCTAAATCCTGCGGGCAAACCCCTGCTGTCCTAAACTCTATAAAGCCTAGAACCCAAATACCAACAGAAAAGGCCGCTGCACCTTAAAAAAAAAAAATACCGGGTTTGGGGTTTAGGGTTTGAGATCTCTTAGTCAAAACTCTCCACAAGGTTTCGGGATGTAACTAGCCTATAAAGTGCTGTAGCTAAATACGTTTCGGGGTTAGGGTACAGTGGACGGACTAGTAACTAGTACAAGTAGAAGAAGAGCAAAAATGATATGAAGATAGTTAGTTATTACTACTGTGCGAAGAGAAAGAGCAGTAAACCCTGTTATTAGCATTTGTTGATGGTCCGTGTGCACGAGGCTTAAAATTCCAAAAATCTCCGTATAGAGCCCTTACTAGCTCACAATTCCCTACCGGATGCATACCCTAAACCTTCACACACACACACACACACACACTGAAACCCCGACGAAAGTTTTAATTACACGCTCCTACAAATCCCTTGCGAACCCTAAACCTTAAATCCTAAAACCTGAAGGCCCTGAACCCTAAAAACCCTAAACCCTAAATGCCCTAAGCGTTTGAAAGCCCAAATGAAACACCAAAAGACACTGAACACCCTGCAACCTAAAATCCCCCGGAGTCTTACTCCCTAAGGCTCCATGTGCCCATATAGTATATACTTAGGCCTTCAAGTACCTATATAGGGACCCCTTTGAGGCTTAAGTATCTACTATAAAGTATAAAGGTACATGGAGCCTTTGGGAACCCCCGACAAAATTTAGTCCCAAAACCGCCTCAAAGCCCTAAGAAGGCTGGCCGTGGAAGAGAAGAAGCGGAAGCAGGCCGAAGAGAAGCTCCGCGCCGAGGTCGGGGGGCCCAAAGCTGCGATGTTTAGAGGGTTTTGGAGGTTTGGGCTCAGGGTTTATAGGGCTTACGGTTTGGAGTTTAGGGTTTTGGGGTTTCAAGCTACAGGATTTGGGGTTTCGGGTCTAGGCTAGGGGTTTGGGGTTGAGGGTCTGGTTTTGGGTTCGGGGTTAAGGTCAGGTTTGATGGACTTTACTTAAGATCCTGGAAGAAAGGGAAGTACAGGTGTTAGTGTTTAGGATGAGCGGTTACAAGAGTTTTGCAGGGTTTTAGGAGCAGTGTTGCTGTTGCGTGCTTTGAGTGGACTCGCGAAGGATCTCTGTAAGGGCTGCTTAGGCCTGGGTTGAGTACAATGCAAAAGTAGAAGACACTGCGGCATTCTTTAAGGATTGTGGCTGGTTGCTGTTCAGGTTTTACCCCTAAGCCCTGAGAGAGGGCTAACCAGCTAAGGCTGATGTCAGGTGCATGGCATCGGGTGCTAAAGTGATTTAGGTTTTCAGCTTGCGGCTTGCAGTGTTGGTTTGTCTTTGCGGTTTGTTGTGAGTGGTTCTGTCTGGGAGTTCCTAGCTGGGGTTTGAGTGTAATACTGGAACCTGATTAAGAAACCCTGGTACTATAACCCCCAAATAGAAGGGTTCATAAAAGGAGCCCTAATAGACGCCCATGGTTTCTTAATCAGGTTCCTACATGAGGGCTTTTAGGTGTTGAGAGGGCGCAGGTTGATCTACCATAAAGCATGAAACCCTAAGGCTCCATGTACCCATATAGTATATACTTAGGCAAAGTACCTATATAGGGACCCCTTTAAAGCCTAAGTATCTACTATATGGGTACATGGAGCCTTAGGGAAAGTGTAAAGTTTGATCATCATCAGGCCCAGGGTCCACATATACCTGTACAGACGCACGTACTTGCCTACCTGCCTACCTACGTACCTACCTACCTATATATACCCACCTACCTACAGACATACAGAGATGGAAGTAGACAGAGATAGAAGTAGACAGAGATAGAAGTAGACAGAGAGAGAGAGAGAGAGAGAGAGAGAGAGAGAGAGAGAGAGAGAGAGAAAGAGGAGAGAGAGAGAGAGAGAGAGAGACATCCAACAGCATACGGTACGCATGGAACGGCAGCATGACATCCTAGTGCAGAAACCACAGCTTGCGAGAGATTGCAAGTCCCTAAGAGCCTATGTACTCCTACAGTATTTACATCGGCCATAATGTAGTCACTGGTCCCTATACAGGTACTTTATGGCCCAAGCAGATGCCCTATCAGTCGATGGACCCTTACCCTAAGGCTCTAAGGCCTCATATATTAAGCCTTTCGGATACAAAGACCATAATGTATAAGGCCTTTGGGCCATTTTGAGCCTTAGGGTTAGGGTAGTCGATCGGGACACCGAACTGCAAGCTGCGGCCCAGGCGGAACAGAAGCGAAAGCAGGAAGAGGCCCTGCAGAAGCAGGCGCCCGCTGAGCTTTGGAGTGTCATACTTGAATACTTTTCTTTTAAAGGACCCATTATGAAATACGAGTTTGTACTTTTTCTCCCTGGTTGCTTAAAGTCCCGCCCAAGCCCGGAAAACCCCTTGACCAAGGGCTCAGAGTTTATACTGTACAGTTTCTTAACCCTAAACCCTAAACTAAGCCCTAAACCCCAAAACCTTAAGTCCCTAACCCCAAAACCCTAAACCCCTAAAGCCCTCAACGCCAGAATTGGGCTCTATATTATTTTCTGGAGACAGAAGGTTGAAGGGCCGGCCGAGTGTCCGTGCTGGAAGTTGCTTCTTGGTTTGCTGTTTCGGGTTTAGGGATTTGGGTTTTAAGGTTTAGGGCTGAGGGTTTAGGGCTTTGGTTCAGGTTTAGGGTCTTGGGTTTTAGGGCTTAGGGTTTACATAGGGCTTAGGGGTTTATGGTTTAGGGCTTGGGGTTTACAGCCTCAAAACCGAGCCCCCCTACTCTCAAAGTAGGATTGACTAAAGGGGCGGTTTCAGTCAGAAGACGGTTTTGGCCTAAGGGTCCAAAGGACCCAATAATTAGGTCCTTAGGTTTCGGATAGTCGTTATGTAGGTTACCAGTCCAGCCAAGCCTTTATATTATACGGCGATAAACCCGAAAGCTTAATTCCCAGGGTTTAGGGTTTAGGGGTGGTTAGGCTTCTCTGCCGCACGCCTCGAAAGGAGGCGAAGGCTCGAGAAGCAGAAGAAAGGAAGAGACAGGAACAAGAGAAGAAGGAGGGCATGGGGTTTTGGGGAGTCGAGTGGTCTAGGGATGACTTAGGTGGTTTGGATCCGATGATTTCAAAACTTGGTTTTAAGCGGAACTACAAAGGATGCGATCTGTAAGGCTTCCAGGCGAGGAAGCCGGGCCGACGCAGGGCGCGAAACACAAAGCGACCACCCGAAGCTCTAGCTAGGTTCCTGAGTAGCATCCTTTTGCCCCTTTTTGTTTGGGGGATTCCTAAAACAGAATGATGGAAAAATGGTCTGTAAGGATTCTTATATGGGATCTATCAGGTTTCTATATGGACCCCACCAAAAAAGCAACAAACCGTATTAGTAAGTATTCAAGCCCCTGTAGTAGGGGATGAGATACCCGAAGGGTTCACGTATTCATATGATGAATACTATGGCCTTCTAAAAGTCCTTACATAGAGACCTGAAGGCCAAACCATACACTAGATAACTAGATGATACAATATATAGGTACACGCACCCTTATAAGGGATGGACTTCACGCCCGAAGCACCCAAGTCCGTAGACCCGAAATCGCTGGGGCTCTGTCGACTTGCGACCAGGACACCTAAGACAAACAGAGGCCCCCTATACTACACCCCTCTACGAACCCTCACGGTACGTAATCCTAAAGGCCGGAACCCCTAAAGGAGCCCTATTCTAATCCCTAATTAAACCTTATCAACAAGAAACATATACTAAGAACGGCAACCCCTTTAAGAGCCCTATTCGAATCCTTTCTTACTTTTCCCAGGACGCCGAAGCAAAGAAGCGTGCCGAGGAGGCCGCGCAGCGCGCCGAAGCCGAAAGGCTCAAAAAGGCCAGGAGACGGTTTTGGGTTAGGGGTTTAGGGTTTAGCGTTCCTGAGGTACCCTTTGCGGTCCCCTTATTCAAAACGAATGGTAGGAAGAATGGTAATTATGAAGGGGATATTCAGGAGTGCGGTAGCGTTCGTAGTAATCGTTTGTTATTTGATCGTTTTGCGGTAGTATACTAGCATTCTAGGTTTTGCTTTGGTCAAATCTTACTATAGAAGCTATACAAGTCCGAATGGTTAGTAAGAGTGCCCCCCCATAGAGCCCCGATACAACTACAGTCCCATTCAGGACATTACCCCAAGACCCTGTTCTAGGGTTTATGCGGAGTAAGGTCAATGTTTTGCCATATAGGGTGTGTGTGTGTGTGTGTGTGTTCAGGGATTGAGTCTGAAGCGTAGGAGATTGTTTTGCCTGGTCTCAACTAGTCCGTGTACAAGTGCCTCCTGAAAGGCACGGCTTGCTCGGACTGCGGGAAAAAGAAAAGGGACTCAAAGCAAGACAACTAACCGAAACTAGAACCCTGGGCTGTAAACCTTGAGGTGTAACACTCCCAAGCCCAAACAAGATATCGTGGATGTTCATGACCAAACGTATGTTTTATTACACAGTTGCGTTGATTTCGTTCTTTAAGCATTCAGTGTACCCCTAACCTTTCGCCGTGTACCTGAGGAGGAACAGGAGAAAATCGCTGCAGAGCAGAAGCGAAAGCAGGAGGAGGACAGGGAATCTCCGCCCCCTCACCGTACTTGCCCAATGGGTTTTGCGTTTAGGTTTGGATTAACTGGGTTTTGTTTTCTTTTTGATGTGTTTGATTAGGGGGGTTGTTTTAACAGCCACTGTGCCAGTGGAAAAGCCATCTGCAGTCTTATGGTGCGTTCCACGATTGCCACCAAGTGGCACTCGCATGTAAGATGCATGTGCAATGCGCGGTCATTGCCTTGCCTGGGTTTTGGGTTGAGGTTTAGGGGTTTAGGGCGTAATTAAGGTTTAGCGTTTTTTTTTATATATAGGGTTTAGGGTTTAGGGGGTGTAGTTTGTGATTTACCAACTAAACACCCACCTGCCTACTTACCAACAAGTACCCACCTCCCTTCGCACCTACTTCTCTGCCTTCCTACTACCTTCGTTTCTCCCGCACTTACCTGCCTGGCTGCCTCGCTGCCTGCCTACATACATGCATACATATATAACATATATATATATATATATATATGTATATTCACACACACATATATATATATATATATATACATACATTATTTAGTCTAGTTTCGGAGTATACCTTAGCGACCCAGACAGCTAAGTGTGCGCGTGCATAAGCACTTACAAACGTGTCTGTCTGCTGCACCGATACTTCATTCTGATATTGGCGACAAACAGAAGCGATAGTATGCTGCCACAAGCACCTTGTGCTTTAGTCTTTCTTCAAAGGGTCGAACCTGCGCATGCTGCTTATGTGCTACTGACTGAGCCAAAAACCTGCTTATGTTTTCCAATCCGCTGCTCCTTTCATCGTTGCTAGTACATTGACATGTCTTAGAGTAACCATACAGCTGTCGTGTTTCGCTGTGCTTTTTTTCTTCTTGCCTCAGCCCTAAACGTTTTTCCCAAAGCCCTACAAATCCTAAACCACGAAACCCTTAACCCCAAACCACGAAACCCTAAGCCCCTAAGCTCGAACCCAAAACCCTAAACCCTCAACTCTCGACCCCAAAAGCCTAAACCCTAGTCCCTAAACCACCCTAAACACAAGCCTAAACCAGCCTAAACCCCTAAACCCTAAACTCCTAAACCCTCGACTCCTAAAGCTTGAACCCTAAGCCTCTATTTCCTAACCCCCAACTAAACCCTAAACTAAACTCCTAAACCCTGAACCCTAAACCCTAGACCCCTAATTCCTCAACCCTGAGCCAGGAAGCCCGGCAGAGGAAGGAAGCCGAAGAGCTGAAACGCCAACAGGCAGAGGAAGCGAAGCGAAAGCAGGAAGCGGAGCAGAAGCAGAAGGCTGGCATCGGTTCAGGGTTTAGGGTATAGGGTTCCGGGTTTAGGGTTATAGGGTTTGGAGTTTAGGGGTTAGGGTGTAGGGTTAAGGGGATAAGGGTTTCGGGTTTAGGGGTTGGGGTTAGCGTTTAAGGGTTTTCTGCTCTGCTCTCCTGGCCCCCGAGCCCCCTGAACCCCAAAAACCCCAACCCTCACACCCTGACCCCTAAACCCGCCTAACCCCGAAACGCTGGCAGGTTTAGGGGTTGGGGTTTGGGTTTGGGGTTCAGGGTTCGGGGGCCAAAGAGAGCAGAGCAGAAGCCTTCGAGGGGTCATTCAGAGGTCCTGTAAGGGTTCCTTAAAGGGTCGTTTATGTAAGGCATCTGTACTGCCCCATGTTTTGTGTAGCTTTGGTTTTGTGTAGATTCGGTTTCCTTGTAGCAACCGTTATAGAAGTCTAGTTTAGACTTGTTTCTGCTTCGTCAAACCCTAGCAGGAGGAAGCGGAGCGCCAGCGCAAGGAGGTGGAGGCGCGTCAGCGCCAGCAAGCAGAGGAGGAGCGCAAGCGCAAGGAGGAGGAAGAAAGAAAGCAGAAGGAAGAGCAGGAGAGGAAGCAGAAGGAAGAGCAGGAGAGGAAGCAGAAGGAAGAGCAGGAGAGGAAGCAGAGGGAAGAGCAGGAGCGAAAGCAAAGGGAGGAGCAAGAACGATTGCAAAAGGAACAAGAAAGGCAGAGACAAGAGGAAGAGAGCCGGCGCAAGGCAGAAGAGGAGAGAAGGAAGCAGGAGCAAGAACAGAAGGTCTTTGTCATAGTTGGGTAACATTTTACATTTTTGGGGTACTTAAACCCAATAAGGAATACAAATTAAAACATTTAACCCTATCCCGACCATGAACTAGAGGTGATGGCAGAAAGCAAGCCCCTCAGCGAAGAGGAGAAGCTCGCTGTGAGGGACCCGGTCGCCTCGTAGGACTGGTGTAGTGATATAGGGGCCTCAATAATTGCCTACAGTATTTTGGGGTTCTGTATTATTAATTACAGTATAATGGGCCCCAAAACCCTATTCTAATTATCAAGGCCGCTACAGTACCCCGTCTTTATACTCTGTCATAGCTGGGTCACATTTTACATGTTTATGGGTACTTAAACCCAAGAGTTTAATACTATCTCAGCCATGGGCTAGTTTGAGGCGGGTCTGATTCAGAAGAGAATTCTTAAAGATAGGTAAGCGGTGCAGCTTGTGAAGGAGAACCAGTGTTGAAGCCAACTAGCTGCAATAAAGCCAACTGATTCCGTCAGGGCTTAAAGGTTTTAAGGGCTAGGGTGTACCTAAAGGTTGTAGTTTCTGTTTTGGCTGAACTGCGTAACCCACTGTAAGTTTAAGATCCCAGGTAACCCCAAAAAGGAACTGCTAGGGGGACTTGAGGTTGCGTAGTAGAAGCGCGGAAGGAGGTCTATCCTGTGACCCAACTTCCACTTGAAAGGGTGCAAAGCTTACCCTAAGGCTCCAAAGAGGGTCTTGGGCTTTGTGGGCGAGGGTTTGGGCTTTGGGGGCTAAGGTTTGGGATTTCGCTACGAGGGTCCAGGAGCCTTAGGGTAGGGTCTGGGTGATTTCCAGCCTGTTGAAACAAACCGCAATCCCTTTTGTTGTTTCTGAGGTTGTGGTGTGGCTCTTGATGATCCAATCTCCAAGCCAGTATCCAGCTTTATAAAACCCGGAAAGGTCGGGTTTTGATAGGGCACCCTTATCAGGGTTAGATCCAGGTTCGTCCCGTCGAGACTCAGGCCCAAGAGAAGGCAAAGCAAGAGGAGCAGAAGAGATACTCGTACGGGGCCCCGGTCCTTCCGCCGCTGACTGCAGGGAAGATTCAAGGTTATATGGGTCAAACCCACCTAGGCGTGATTCGCGGGTGCCGGGCACAAACGCTAATTAAGCCCATACCTTCGAGTTTTTTGCGTACTTTAGCAGTCACGATGTCTAGTGCAAAGGTAGAGTTCTATCACTTTTGTCAGATGCACTTGCAATCCTACCATGGGTAGGTTCTGAAGCACCCATACAAGCAAGGAGGCTGGCTAGCGATTCCGTAGCATAGTTCATATGCACTTGTCCAGAACACTATGGCAGTATGTTCATAGACGATGCTCACATATATGTACAATGCTTCTGCACTTATGTCATCCGTGCAGTGCATGCTTTCGCACACATGAGTACAGATGTACAGCAGGTACACATGTAAATGAGTTTGGTTGTGTATGTGTGTATATATATATATATATATGTGTGTGTGATGTATACATAGAGGTGCGTGCATGCGTGTATACACGGTGAAACAAGTAGAGGTAGAGCACCGTAGTTGCATGGATAGATAGGGTGTATGGTCCATGGAGTTAAATACACAAAAGCACCAGGCACAACTGCCGACACGGCGACGCACATCAGCCTATTCATCGCACTTTTGAAGGACTCATGAATGGTACGCCTAGTTCATCGCACTGTTGATGGACTCGTGAAGTCCCAAGGACAAGGATACACAAGAGTCCGCTTTCTGTGAAGCCTTAGAAGTACATTGCACAGCCTTGAAAGCTAGAACTCCGAATTCTGAACATGCACTCCAGGCGCCTGAGCTTCAAGTGGAAGATGCAAGACGAGTCGCGGCTCAAGGATGAGGTGGCCGCTGCGTCAAATATATACAAGCAGTACGAGGGTCGGAATCAGTGTTCCTTACTTAAACCCTAAACCCCTAAACCTTAAATCCTAAACCCTAAACCTTAAACCTTAAACCCTAAAAGCCCTAAACCATAAAGCCTCCTAAACCGTTGTAAACCGAGGCTCCATAGGCCCTCAACCTGAAACCCTGCAGGCCTACACCCGGAAGACCGTATATCAGGGACACAAACAGGACATAAGCTTACGCATTTTGTCATAGGAGGCCAGAAGGGGTTTTGGCCTATGGGGGTTTAGTAGGGTTAAGGGTTCCCATAATGGGGTTCATATTAAGGAATCCCCACCCCAAGAACCTTAAACCCTCCTTTCGGCCTCCCATTATTTTTTAGGATGTCCCTACCGTTTTGGGCTTCAATATGAGGGGGTTTGTATGGTATACCCCTATCCTCATTTTTTCTTGTGTGCTTTTCTGGGGGCCCTAGTATATGCCCTCAGCCCAAGCAATGACAGGTGGCCCGTGTGAAGGAGCAGGTCGAGAAAAGGCGACGGACCGGATTGCATGATCTCGGAGAGAGGTATGGTGTTCAGAGTCGCTCCAGAGCTGCAGTAGTTCTATCATTGTTTCCCCTGGTTGAAAGGAGGTTTCTGAGTTCGAGGTGCGCAATACTAGCTGTTGTGTCTAGTGCAAGCAGCAAGTCTCGAAGATGCCCTAAGCCCTTATAAACCCTATACCCCAAATCGCCGTGGTGGACATGCCTTAAACAAACCCTAACCCTCGCAGTCCTCACGCTTGCCCTCTCTCAAGTGGGCTTTCGCTGCATCGGATTCCAATTGTAGACTATAGTGGCCCACTAGATTCATGACTTTTGCCACGTCTGGAACGATTGAAGAAACCTGCCAATGATAAAGATGCAGCTGCACTTGGGCCGAGCTTGCCCAAGCCGCTCGCACTCGGCTGAGGGGCGAGTGTGAGCTGTCATGAGAACGGACTTCCTTTTCTTTTGCGGCCTGGACACGAACCTGACTTCCTGCGGAGGCTGGTCGTTGCGTGCTGGTGGCCGGCCGCACATGGTCGAGCTGAAGAGTTGTTGTTTGCAGCATTTGGGAGTTTCCGAAAATAGGGGAACCTAATCTAGTACCCGAACTAGCAGGATCCCTCTTACAAAGACCCCAAAATAAGGTACCCCTGTATAATTTTCGGAAACTCCCATGTAGCTTCAAACAATGCTTTGGGGAGAGCGTGGCAGCTGAACCTACTGGGCCGAGTGTCCGCAAGCCGTGGCACCTCAAGACATCCTAGGTAATATTAGGGGTACTTTGAAATAAGTTTCAATTTTTGGTTATTATAACCCCTAAGAAACAGCTAGGGTTCTAAGTTCAGTATAGGTAATATTAGGGAGGCCCCTCAAAGGGTACGCTTCTTTTTCCTACTTCTGGCTTCTTGAAAGGGACCTTGTTGAGAGGGTCTATACCCCCACGATTCGCCTAGTCCGAACTCCTAAGACAGTGCTATTGGGTTCACTTCAAGGTTTCAGGCTCCGAGTTCAAGGGTCCAAGGCCACTCTCAAGTCGGCTTTCGTTGCATAGGAGAAAGCCATAAACTCTCCTAATCCCTACTGAATCCAATAAACCCAGATGAGAATTCATGAAACCTGAACAAACCCTAAACCCGAATAACTCCTGCAGGACTCAGCCAGACTGTCACTCCGAAGTCCAGTAGAATTTGCCAGACCTTCCAAAATCCCTTAATTAAGGAATATACCTTATATAAATCATATTAGGGACGCTATTTTAAGTTAAGGTATATTCCTTAGTTAAGGGACTTTGGAAGGTCTGGGATTTTATCCTCCTTATGCAATCGGCTAGAATGACATGACATCTCCTATCCGCAAACCCAAAATAACCCTGAGCCAACTAGACCCTAAGCCCTTGGCCCTAAACCTTACATGTCAGAGCTTGAGGATAACAAATCTACTGGGGCGGTATGGAGAAAGTTCGGATCAGCAGGGAACCTAGTCCAGTCTGAGGACAAATGACCCTTTCGATTGAGTGATGTCGTCTATCTGGAGGCATGACATGATATGACTTCGGTGAGATACCCCACGGCCCTGGAATAGGGTTTAGCATGGTTTACTTGGAGGGTCGAGGGACTTAGTAAGTAGTTATTATATAGACTTATAAGTACCTTAATAGGGACCCTACTTGGGGTTATGTTGTTTATAACTCTATGAAATAACTACTTACTAAATCCCCCGACCCTCCAAGTAGTGATTAGAGACCCTAAACAACCCCAGGATTCCTCCAAGGGTTTTGGGGTTTCATTAGGTGGGTTTCAGCTCTTACTAGAAGCCCTAAGGCAGACCTTAGAAAGGGCCTGCAATCGTGTAGGTTTTGGAAGATCAGGGTAGGATTCAGGGTCGATGCTAAACCCGAAACCCTAAACCCTTACACCCTAAACCCTAAACCCTTAAACCCTAAACCCTAAACACTAAGCCGAAGCCCTAAGCAACCCAACGCCTTTCCGGCGTGAAGAGGCCTCAAGTTGGAGTAAATTTGAGCTATAGCCTCCTTTTAAAACCCAAGGGAATACTTAAGATACTATGTTTGTTATGGTTCGAAGGGGGTTGCAGTGAGGGCCTAAATCCCAAAGGGTTCAAGTAATAAGCAATAGTAGTTTATTGTTTGCTTTTGGGCCCCAAATATCTATTAAGTAGCTACTGTATTGGTACTTGGATCCTTTGGGAATAATTCCCGACATTATATCTCAGGGTTCCTTTGTGTGCTATTATGGTGTAAACTACCCCAAAAACCGCTCTGATTATCAATGCCCTATTTGGCAAGATCGAGGCTGTAGGGTGGTTTAGTGTTTAGGGTTTAGAGTTTAGGTCTTAGGGTTTAGGGTTTAGTTTTTGGGGTTTAGGTTTAGTTTTAGGGTTTAGAGTTTAGTTTTTAGGGTTTAGGGTTTAGTTTTTAGGGTTTAGGTTTAGTTTTAGGGTTTAGAGTTTAGTTTTAGGGTTTAGGGTTTAAATCTACGGTTAAGGGTTTAGGGTCTAGGGTTGAGGGTTTAGGGTTTACGCTTTGGGGTGTGTTCAGGGTTCATGGGTAGTTCTAAGTAGGGTTATATGTCCCCGATTATGGGTTATAAGTACCGCTATCCTGCTCACAATCCTGCTCATAACTACCCATGAAGCTCCGAGTGGACCCTAAACCCTATACCCTTATAGAATCCCTATAGATCCCTTTAAAGGGACCCTTAAAGGAACCCTTTTAACTCTAGATAAACCCTCAACCGCCCGCCAGGGAAGAAGAGTTGCGCGTTCTCCTTGCCACAAAGGTGGAGGAGGAAAAGCCCTGGGCCTAGATATTGGAGTTTCGGAAACTTAGGGGTACATTTTGGGGGTCCTTGCAATAAGGATCCTACTATTTAGGGTGCTGTATTAGGGTCCCCTATTTTCGGAAACTCTCATATAGGAAGCATGACCTTGTGCATGGGTCTATGCAGGGATTGGGGCTGTGCCACTGTCCGGCAGAGCTGCAGTTGATCTTCCTGGCTGTTACTTCCAGGGCGCCATCTCTTTCTCGTAGGTTCCTCCGTTTCTGTGCGATGAAACTCTGAACTCTGTAACCTTTAACTTTTTTCTTCAAGCAGAAGCCCTAAACCGTTCCAGGTTTTACTTTATCTAGTTTCTGGATAAAGTAAAACCTGGAACGGTTTAGGGCTTCTGCTTGCAATCTAGTTGTTGGCTGCATGCATGGCAAAGTGGGCTTCGCTGGAGAGCCTGCATAGCTGTGTATGGGTGGAGTAGCCGAGGCCTTGGGGCTTTGGGGATTACTATAGTATCCTTAGGTTTTGTTTTTTTAACTGTTCATATAAAGCCCAAGAGAACATCTTAAATATTGTTTTTACTATGGTTCTAAGGGTTTCTAGATTGGGTTTGATGCTTATATATTTTCTTTCAGAAGTGTGTGATTAGTCATTAAGTGTCCTTGTCTTGGAGCTGACAGGTTTGCGGGTTCAAGTAGCGTGGCGCATACTTGGGCATCGAAGAAGCTCCTATACATGGTAGGTCGCGTCCAAGTCTAGACCATACAGTCAGGTGTGATGGTGGGAACATCGACCCGGAGTCACCCTAAACCCTAAACTGGAGCGTGTTCTGTTTGGAGTTCAACGGATCCGTGTAGCCCTAAGGCTCAGAATGGCCCACAAGCCTCATAATAGTATTGTCTTTGGGCTTAAAAGCCTTAATATATGAGTCCTTAGAGCCTTAGGGTAAACTGGAGTGTGTGCAGTTTGGCGTTCAACAGATCCGTGTAGGGTTCTCTCGGCTCCAAGGCAGTATCAAGAGCGGCAAGCGAGGGCCGAAGCGGAGGCGCAGTCATTTGTAACATCGTATTTAGTGTTTAGGGTTGAGGGTCCAGGGGCTCAAATGCAATAAACATAATATATATATATATATATATATATATATGTAAATAGTACTTAATATTATTAATATCACAATAATATTATTGATATTAACAATGGTTCATCATGGTACAGATGGCTGAGTACTAGGATTCGTTTTGTTGGTCGGCTAGGTACCGGTTCACTATCCGTTAGAATGGGAACAGCTCGAAATCCGTAAGTAGCGTTGTGCGGCTCATTGGGGGAGGGGCTACGTAATTCCTTCAAAACCGATAGGCTCCTATTCCCCACCTATCCCTATAACCCTAGAAACCCTGAACCCTAAGCCGTCTTATAACTGTACGTAATTAACTAAGTCACAAGCCCTCAACCCGTAGCATCTACATCTCTGAATGACGTTCCCCGCGCATGGGTGTAACAGTGTAGGCTGACACTATGTGTGTTCTCTTACCCTAGGTCTCAAACTGGCCCAACAGCCTCATATAGTATGGTCTTTGGGCCCTTAAAAGCCTTAATATATGAGTCCTTAGAGCCTTAGGGTAACCCCCTAAACCCTAAACCCCAAACCCCCCAACCCACAAACAATCAAAAAAGACTCCCGTGTGGATTCAGGGTGGAGGGTTGTAGGGTTTAGTGCTCCAGGCAGTGCTCTTCGGGGCGTGGGTCCTATATAGTCTCCTTAGATATTTTTAAATTTCTGTTCATATAAAACCCAAGAAAAAATACTTATTTATGGTTCTAAGGGGGGGTAGAGGATCTAGGGCCGCAGGATCGGTGCCCGGCCAGGCTCTCCATCCTCCCCCAAATGGGGGTTTCCAAGAAATTAGGGAACCCCAAGAAAGTAGCCTAAATGGTAGGATCCTCATTATAAGGACCCCCAAATAAGGTACCCCTAACTTTCAGAAACTTTATACTCTTATAGAGCCTTTTAAAGGAAACCTTATAGTACCCTTATAGTAACCTTTTAAAGGAACCCTAAGGTACCCTGTATTTTCAAAAGCGGCTTGGGCCTTGAGCTTCGTGGGGTTTACCCCTGGCCGGAACGGCTTGGGCCATGCGTCCGCAGGCTCCAGGCCCGGGTTCGGGCGCTTCAAACTCTTTTTGATTTCTGGGTTTAGGGCTTACAGAGATGAGAGAGAGAGAGAGAGAGAGAGAGAGAGAGAGAGAGAGAGAGAGAGAAACTACCTCGACAGAACCCCTGTAAGACAGGCCTGTAGGGTCTGGTGTTGAGCGTTTGGGGGAAGCTGGGTTCAGTAAGTAAAGCTATGACTACCTTATTATGGCGGGGGGGAGGGCCGGGCGGGCTGCCGCTACCTGACGGTTTAGGGTTTAGGGTTAACCCTAAACCCTAAACCCTAAACCCTAAACCCCCCTTTCGTAAGTCCTTTAGTCCTTTCACAGTGCACCCTGCAGCAGGCAAGAAGAATTGAGGACTTGAAATCCAAGGCACAGGGTCTCGCCTAAACCCCCAAATCCTCAAGTCTAAGCCCCAAGCCCTATACAACCCTATAAAGCTTAACTAGCAACCCCAAAGGCGCAATCCAGATCTCTGATCTGGACAGCTCCCGACTCCAAATACTGCAGTAGGGCCTGCGAGGCCAAACAGTTGCAACCTCATATATATATATATATATATACATACAGACACATTATTTGCAACGCTGATTTGGAGCAATGCAAAACCCGCAGTATCGGTACCAAGTTTCGCTCCAGCCCTGACGGTGCTAACACGTTGCCAGAACAAAACAGAAGAAGAACAGCACAAGTCATGTTTGGGATGCTAAGCTAGAAGGAGATGACAACAAACGATGTAGGAACCTGATTAAGAAACTCTGGGTCGTTGTTAGCCTCTTCATATGAATCCTAATTTGGGGGTGATGAGACAACGGTTTGCTCCAACATCCGAGCAGCAGCCGGACCCTGCGACATGTACTATCATGTACTGCTTTGGTGTCCTGGTCTCTGTTAGTGTGGCTCCCATAGCCGGAAGCACTCAAGTAACAGGGCCCGAATCCCTAAACCCACTCATGTCTTGTTTCGACAGGGAGCTCTTTGCAAACCTTCGTTCCAGACCTTGTAGGCCCGAAGACCCACCGAGACAACAAAGTGCGCAGAGTACTTAAATCTCACTTTCTTAAACGGTCGAAGACAGGATCTGCAGTGTTTATGTCTAGAGACATACGTAGGCAGGCAGGCAAGCAGGCAGGCAGGTAGGCAGCAGGCAGACCGACACACGGACAACCATACAGATATATCTCGATATGCATGTTCGTATGAATTCATCCTCGTATCTATGTACCTATACAACTGTGTACCTATCTATCCATCTTTCTATAATCTGACTATCTATCGATCTATCTCTCACTATCTATCCAACCTATCCTTCTTATAGCACGCATCTTTGCATGTACGTGTGTATGTAAGTATGCCCGAACACAGCCTTAGGGTATTATACACTGGGTATTCACACCAGGATCGTGTTCCTTGATGCAGAGGCGGAGCCTGTGTCTACCCGATACCCTGCACGCTAAACCCTAGCCTCTAAACCCAAAACCCTCGGCTCTAAAGCCTCTATGCGGTCAGTCGTCAAACCAAAGCCTACATGGAGACCCTAAGAAGTTTGCTTATTGACATTTCCTTCTGTAAATCCTTCAACAGGTACTGTAGCTGGGGTTAAGCTAAAACTCGGCTTCAACAACATCTGCCACCTGTGTAGTGCCAGTTGTGCCTTCCTCGGCCTGAATTTCAGTTTGGGCTTGTGTTCAGCCGTTTCTGGATCTGGTGCGACTCGGGTGTTTGGGTGTGGCGCTGGACCCCAATCAGAGCTCAGGGTCTCAGGTTCAGCGTTTCGGGATTCGGGTAGGGGCCTGCATATAAATATTTCTTATACGGTGTTAATGTATGTGAATGAGAAGGAACCCCTAAGAAGAAAGGTATCGGCAGTGATTTAGGCCCCCACAGTACCCAAATTATGAAGACTAGGCGTGGCAACCCAGACCTTCGAGAAACTAAGGCCGTGACCCAAACCTTAAATCCTAATGAAACTCGTCCATTCTAGGGTTTGAGGGTTAACTCGGGCTTAGGGTTTTGGGGTTTAGGGTTTCGGGTGTTAGGGTCTCGGGGTACACCTTGAGTAACTCATGCACCTTTTACGCAATAGGGGGTGTGACCCGAAAACCTGGCGCATTTGCTTGGTTTTTAATACCATCGGTTACTCTAGGTAAAGCCTCTTTTTGCATCCCTGCGGAAAACAGATGTGCAAACTCTCCCCTGCTCTCTGTCGCACTTGTGCTTGAAAGGCGTGTACCCAGTTCAGATCACACGACGCAGCCCTACACAGTTCAAAGAAGATCCCTTACCGTAGGCTAGAAACCACAATTTCCAACCCCTACCCCTGAACTTTACCCTCCCCCCCTGGTGTGGAGGCTCCGGCGTCACCCGGCTGCAAGAGGTGATATCTGGTATCAATGTTTAGTTGTTTGTCCCCAAAGCCCATGCTCTGACCCTATATACAAAAATTCTGATGGCTCGATTTATTGTTAAGGCTTCTGGTCCGAAAGACGATGCTGTACTATGCCACGCTTTGGGGCGATTTCGAACCTTATGGGGTGGGCCCAAAGGACCAAGTAGGTACTCGGGAGTTGGATAGCAGTTATATACGTAGGTTACTATTTTGGAAAGTATATGACAATAAGGTAAAAGCCAGAAAGTTGGAATATGATTATCCTAACCCTTCTATGGTAAATTATAGGGTATCCTACCATGAAACCATATTCCAACTTTCTGGAGTTCCCTGTAATTAATTGGTTACTTGGACACTTAGGGAACGGCTTCAGCAGCGAGGAAAGTTGTGCGAGGGTTTGGTTAGGTTGGGCTCCGCTCCTTGTGGTGAAGTCGACATATCTTACCTGTGCATGCGCTACATAATAGTAGTAGGTTGTGACCCAATAGGGGCCTGAGTAGTGAACACTGTTATATTCTTGTGGATTCCTAATCTCATCCTACTATATAATGTACTGCCCGTAACACGTATGCCAAGACAGCTCTGGATTGAAAGTCACATTCCAGGCACAAACTACGCCACAACTAGAGCATCAACTACGGCATGGATCGTAGCAAAATAATGGTCAGATAAAATCAGTATATGTTTAATGTCTGGCATACCCCTATCCCACTTATTCACCCTTAGGGTCCAAGTACCCAAATATCATATACTCGCAAAAAGAGTAACCCACGTAACTGCTATTCCAAACCCGAGTACCTAGTTATTGGAACCTTGGGACCCTTAGGGAACTAGTAAATACCCCTTAAAGGAGCCCCTATAGTAACCCTTAAAGGAACCCTTATAGAATCCCAAAAAAGGTTCAGGGCCCTGCAGCAGGAAGTATGTTTGATTTTTGCCCATGTAGCACCAAGAGAATATGAAACATGTTATTTTCATTATGGTTCTAGGGGGGGGGTGTAGCTAAGGCTTTGGGATTAGGGTTTTGGGATGTAGGGATTAGGGATGTGGGGTTTAGTAGCGAGGGTATCCTAGGCCTGGAACACCCAATAATGGTCCGTGCCCCGTATGGTCTACTCCTTGACCCTAAGTATCTATATTGGAGACGCTTTGAGGCTCAGGAGTATAGTGTAAGATCTCTCTCGTTGCCGTGGCGTAAGCAGGCATCCAAAGTTGACACAGCAGAGACCTCATCCTCCGGAAGAGGGAGAATTCCAAGGGTTCCCAGCCGGGACGGACACAAAGATGCATCCAAGCATACTTGAGTACATTCCGGACAAGTTTGTACAGATGGGGATCATTGCATGTGATGGCAAAACGTTTGGAGCATGCATGATAGATGATGCGTCCATTTTCAATCGCTGGTACTACAAACTCTCTGAAACAGAATAGCAGCGCATCGCCTTCTACATGCCGATCATCGTGTTTCGCGTTTGTTGAGACCTCGGCTTGCGCACTGACCACGTGAAGACTCTATGGACAAGCTCCACGATTCTGTACTTGAACCGTGTCTTCGTCTGAGCTGGCATCGACGAGACGCAGTTGCTATCTGCAATCTCGCATTGACGCGGATCACCAGTCTAGGTTTCCTAAATCCTTAACCCGAAGCGCTCAACCCTAAGTGAGTGGTAACACCCTTCGAATGGCAGTAGCCCAGGCCTCCGCCACAACAAGACAACCATTGCAAGCATTGAGTTGGAAACAAGCCCAAACTCACAACCCGATAAACTCCAAAACCACAGAACATGAAACCTTAGAGCCCTTAAGCCTCGCACCCTTCAAGTAGGAATCACTTGATTGAGGCTACAGGGCCTTACGAAGCAAGGCCTGCGAGGGGTTGAGGATTAACGGGCATTCAAGTCTCAAATGGGCAGGTCTCTAAAGTAGGTGGGTTTCCGGCTTGAGAGTAGTTGCATTGTTTGTGTTTAGGGTGTGGGCTGTAGGGCCAACGGCTAAGGGCTCAGGGTCAGACACAATATCATTCCGAGCCGAAAGGTTCCCCTGCCAAGGCCCCCCAACCTCAAAATTACCCGGTCTTTGCAAGCTCCGCCAAAACAGAGTATAACCCTTAAACCCCAAGCCCTAAACCGTATAGGCCTTAAGCCCTAAACCCTGTAGGCCCCAAACTTAAAAATCCTTAAACCCTCAACCCTGAAACCCCAATCGCTCTGGCTCAAGTTATGGTACGCCCAGCTTGAGACAAGACGGTAAAGTTCACACCGCTATATACGAGAGTCCTGAGGAGCGTTGCTGAGGAAGTAGCACCCATTTCGCAACCAACACCATGCAACGCACGGGTAGTATGGTCTGAGGCGAGCGCTCTGTAGGGAATTTCGGAAATTACCGTGTCAACACGGGACGCGCGAGTATCGCGCCTTTCCATGACATTCCGTTTGATCTTCGGCCCGGACTTCGGTCTGGTGTCCTTCATGGTACTGCTCATTCTGTCTTTTTGGTCAGCCTCTCTCTCTGCTGCTGCCTCTGTTTGGCTTCAGGGCGATCGCTGATCAGTTCGGGGGGGGCCCGGGGTTTCGCCAGTATGGGGCATTGTGGTGTTGAGTGGGAATCCCTCCGTATGGGCCTCCCGAACTGTCCCAACAGTCGAAGCAGGCATCCCGGATAACTTCGGGGCAGACGGAAAAGAGGGTTCAAAAAATACAAAAGGAAGCCTTAAACACCCTAATCTTTAAAGTCCTTATTAAACCTTTTAACCTATAAGCCCCCAAATCCCAAACACCCGATCTTCAAAATGCTTATAAACCCTATAAACCCTAAGCCCCTAAACCCCAAACACCCCAACTTCAAAATCCTTAAACCATAAACCCTCTACACGCATATTAATTAGGAGTGCGTTTTATCGATGGTCGTTTTAGGAATCCTTGCGTGCATCTCGCCCGGATCGTCCCTAGTGACTGCTGCATAAACCATGTACACCCTAAACTTTCCTATGTTTTTTCCTTTGTTACTTCATGCCGAGTTCCGAAAAGTTTAGTCTTCTAAATCTTGCAACCCGAGACCTTTAACCCCCAAATCCCTATCCACCTACACTGTTAGGGTCCTGGTTCAGGTCCTTAAACAGGTAGGTTATTTGGGGGTTACGGTAAACCCTGACATGCCAAACACCGAGAAAGTTCGGGGTTCGAAACCGGGCATGAGCCGCTGCTTGCAGGGGGAAGTGGAGGAGGCTCCTCCCAGGACGGATCTGTCAGAATGCACGGGCGGAGGGGCGGGGGATCGTTGTGCGCCTGAATAGTAGTAAGAGTATCTACTTGCAGTCCCTAACATAGGGGCATAACCGTACCTGTTTTACTATGTCTGTATATATATATAGATAAAATTATGAATCGTATGGCTAAGTGCGTAAACTATCTTTTCATAGTATCGGGGGTCATGCTATATACGAACTACTAAGGCCCCTTCAACCCTTCAATGGGTGTTTGGGGCTTACATCAGGATCTTTCCGCCAGACTTTGAATCGTCTTGGGCCCTCCCTAAACCTAAAGCTCAAAATGGCCCAAAACCATGCACCTACACATACACGTAAGCATGCACATACACATATACACACACACATGCATACACAAACATCAAATAAAGCCTGCATTTGACGCCCTGAGCCCTTCTGACCCATGCAACCTCTTGAAATCCAGTTAGCCTCGTCCAGAAGCACGCTTCCAAAGAACCCCAAAGAACCCGAAACGAAGACCCTAGATAGATCCTGTCCTCTCCCGGAGGATTCGAACCAGAAAGGCTGGGAAGCACCTGCATTTCGGGTTTGGGGATTTAGTTTATACAGTCGTCCGGCTCAAGGATTCTGTTGGGTTTCTGGCACTTTGGTGTAAGGGGCTGGGAGGGCTCGTAGGTGTTTTTGGGTTTCGGGTTGCTTCAAACGTGCCTTTGAGGCTTCTAATACAAGGGGCTGTCTGGGTAGGGGGGTTTGCATCGGTTTACGGGATCAGGGGCTGCGAGCGCTTAATCAACAATTA